TGAAATTTGGTGTTTTTCCGTGTATCGGTTCATGAGTTATGCGTTATACAGACACACACACACACACAGACACACACACACACACACACACACACACACACACACACACACACACACACACACACACACACAGACATCATCGCGAAAATAGTCAAAACGGATTCAGGGGACCTCAAAACGTAAAAATCCGTCGAAAACTCGAGGTCGAAAAAAATCATGATTCCTATACTTTCCTTATATCTGTATACAGATAGGAAAGTAAAAATTCGGATTCGAGTTTTTTCTTTTCTTTGCATTTTCTGAGAACATTTACTATAGTTATGTATATATTTTTTTACATTATCAGGAAGAAGAGATTTCAACGAACAAAAAACTTACCGACTTTTTTAAAAAGCTGATATTTTGACGCAAGAATTTTCGATTAAAAATTAGGGTTTTTTTTCGATATTAAGTCAAAACAAGATGAAAAAATAAATATTTCAAATCAAAAAAATTACAATGTCTTTAGGACATAAAAAGGTAAGTTTTCACTAAATTTCGAGAAATTTTGCATAAGATAAAAATAAAAAACCAAAAACTTGATTATTTGAATTTTTCACATAAATTTTGAAGTTATGTGAAAAAAGTGTAATTACAAAAATTGTAGGTCTCTTTATTACCTACAACTTTGTCATTTAATTTTTTTTTTTCATAGGACTTGTAGTTTTGCCGGAAATCGATATACACCGTTTTTTACTCTTAAAAACTCACCCCCTTCCACTTCCCGACCTCAGATCGCCCGTAAATTATTTTTTCTTTTATTTTTGTTCTTGTCCTTTTTTAACGGGTTTCATCCTACTATTATTTTTTTTTTGTTTCAAAAATTATCGACCTTGGTCTAACTGTGTAATTTTACTTTACCGCACGCATCTTCACAACTTATACTTCACAGTAGTATTATTAAAATTGCCAACTTTCCAAATTCTCTGTGTGATGTGGAAACGTATGTTTTAAATAGTGGTAGTAGAATATATATATATCTTTTTTGACAAACTAATTTTAAATCACTAATTTTCGTCATATTTTAGACGTATCTAGTGGAGTACAAAAGGAGTGGGAAAACCCTTATTCCGAGTTCATCATCAATGTAAATTGGTCGGAAGGCTCGCGATTAGGCGAAGGATGCCTTGAACAATAGTCCCGGATTCCGGAATCATACACATGGAATAGACATGTATTATACACTATTCAATAAACGGCGGCTTCGCGTTGTTTCTGCACCAGATTCATGTACGGAGAGAATCAACTGCACCAGTGAGAATTATTAAGTTTATCCGTCTTTTCAACAGTTGAAATCATTAGTCTAATAACACTAATATAAAACGTGAAATGTTCTTTTGAAATTTGAGAGAATATTTTGACTGTGACATAAACACAGGTTCAAGCAATTAAAAATTTTAAAATGTGTTACTTTTTACCGTATACCACAGAGTAGCAATTATTTTTTTTTAGATATTAGATTATTAGAAAATACACACGGCAAAAACAAAGATTTCGTTTTCCACTTTTACCTAAATTATAAAAAGTTTTCTTCGTGTTTTCTGGCTACGTTGATTTGGTTTGACACTACACAAAACATTTTAAAAATTATTTTTATACAATAAGGTTTCTCTAAAACTACCTGATAATCATAAGAATCATAACTATAATATTTACGTGTGCTAGAGACTACAACAAATATTTTGTTTCAGTACTTCGAGAATATTTTATCTAATGGTGTTGGTTGTCTTGGGTGGCACAAAATTGATCGAACAACACTTGATTGAATTGGAAATTTGATCGAAAATACATTTTATCACATAACATTTGATCGAAAATATATTTTATCCAATAACATTTTAACGAAAAGACAATAGATCTAAAAAATAGTAAAGTCCGTCTAATTCCTATTACCTGGGAAACTAAACTCAGTGGCTATCGTCAAATTTAATAAATTTTATTTTTACAATACTGTTAATTTACAAATTAATATTTTCAGAGCTAAACGAATATTTATCGTCATTCAGATTAATTCGCACAAAATAAGTATTTCAGTAAGGTCCAATGGAACATTGTAGGTAAATTGTTTTAAGTTTGTTCCAAACTTTTACCTAACCTGTGCGGCCGGAAGCCTTCGCGGCTTAAATCGTAAAAATTATACAATAATGAAAAAAATTAAAAAAAAAAACATATCTAATTTACCTAACCTGTGCGACCTGGGGCCATTTAAATTTTACTGATTGCTCTTGCACTGGTTAGGTAAATTAATTATGTTTTTTTTATAAAAAAAAAACTCAACTAATTTAACCTAACCTGCTTCGCAAAAAATATATACAAAATGAGAAAAATAAACAAACTTAATTAAATTACGTATATTATCTTATGTTGGGTATGTGGTTTTAATGCACTCTAAATTACTTAACATGTGTGGCCTGGAGCCATTTAAATTTAACTGATTGCTTTCGCACAGGTCAGGTATATTAGTTTTTTTTATTTTTTTTACTTCTTGCATATTTTTTTGTGAAACAACCAGCAATGGCTCTAAGCAGCACAGGTTAGGTAAATTAGTTGAGTTTTTCTATTTTTTTTAATTTTATAAATATTTTGTCAATCAATTGCTTTTTCTTATAAAACTATTTTCGATCAATTTTCTTTTCAATCATTGTTCTCTTCGATCAATTTTTTTTCGATCTTTTTTCTTATCGATCAATTGTTATTCGATAAAATGTGTATTCGATCAAATGTATTCGATCAAATGTTTTCGATACAAAAATACCAAAGTAATATAAAGGGAAACTGTCCAACTTTAAAACCTAATACAAACAACCTGATTACATAAATGGGTATAAATATGATTGTATTAAGTTACATGGATACTTTAGAAACATTTTGTATGGATCACTTTATATATCGTTAGAGGTAAAAGTCACTAACTCGCATTTTGCTACTTCCGAGATAATGAGCATTATAGTGAAACTTGTTGCCAAAAATGGGAAAATTTTGTAATGGTTTAAAATGATACATACAAGTTACTACTTGTCGTCAGTAAATATGCACATCCAATAAATTAATTTTTTTATTATTCACAAAATTAAGAGGATTTTCGTACTCTATGAATTTTACTTTTTCTATGTGATTTGAGGTGTAACACTTAGTGACGAAATCAAGTAGTTAATCATTAAAATTAACGTCTTTATTTAAACAAAATATCCATAAATATACATCAAAAACATTACTGAATAAAGTTCGTATTACAATAAATTCAATTTTCCTCTTCATCAGATTCATCAGCTGTCAGTTCAGGAGCTAGTTCTTCTTGATGTAAATTAGCTTTAGTAGGCAATGACCTATACCTAACATGCAATTCTTCGGGTACAATAGACGAATCACAGAGTTTAATGAGATCTTTTTTCTTCTTCTCTGATCAGAATAAGCGGGCTTGATCCAGTGGGGCTTTTGGCGGTTTCTACCTTTTCCTTTAACATAGATTTAGAAAAATGACTAAACCTATAGTAAATGCAATCTGAATTATTTTTTTCATATTTCAAACACTTTACTTTTAACCATTCCACCTTATTTTCATCTTCATCCATGTTTCTATTCTTAATCATATTAGATGCAAGGTATTGAAAATGTAAAAAATCTGTATACTTCAATTTGATGACTTCATATGGGTTTTTCTTTGATTTTTTTTTAGTTCGTGCACTTTAAAGATTTCCTTTCAATCGTTTACAGAAACTGACCTATATTTTTCCCATTTTCTATAGCTCAATAATTTTAACTGTCGCATGATTTTGAACACAATAAAGCATAGCTGCTGCTACATTCTGGTTTCGGTTCTTACCCCCACAAGTGTCAGAGAACATAGATAAATGTGTTATGTTATTGGGGATCGTATCTATGTACTTGGTTAGCATAGTTGCAATTTCATTGGATCCCCTCTTTTCATTAATTTCGTTCCAACAAAAACAGAAACCTCTATTTTCTTTGTCCCCTTGATAAATTGTTAAATTATATACACACAATTTTCTGCTAGGTATAATATAACTGTCCCACGTCTGATAGTGGTAGTTGAAGCACATTCTGCAGATCAAACGTAATTGTCTGAAAACTTTTGTCATCGTTGGCTTTTCTTTTATCTTCTTGTTTTTCATGATAGCACTCTTATTTCTTAGTCACATGTTCTTCGTGCAGATTCTTAAGATGTTCATCTTTCTTTGCGGATTTATATTTTGTACAAATACTGCACTAATCTTTTTCGGGGGTGAAAAACGAAAGGTTGTATTGAGTACAAAAAATTTTTCTGTATATATTACTTTTAACGGGCAACACATTTTTGTCTTTGCAAAAATGTAAATATAATGAGTACGTCTTGAGAATACTTAATTTCGGATCTAAATACTGCGTGCTACTAGTTTTTTTCACATAATGAGGAAGCATACGGCGGAAAATTTCAATGTGTTTTTTAACAAGTTCTGTACTTTTCTTGCTGGTAGAATTTCCTGGAATTTTGTGTCTTCTGTTGTCTGAATCTGAGAAACTACCAAATTAGTTGCTATTTGCTAAAGCGGTATTTATTTCAAATAAATTTGCGCAAACACGAAAGACTTCATTGCAACTTCTTAAATAATATTATTTGGCGGTTACTCGTTGTTTCTTAGCACTCACCCGACGTCGTTTGAGAAATTCTGTCCTCACGTTTTGAAGGATATAATCTTTTGGACGCTTCTAGTCCGTAAGATCCCAATAGGCCTTACATAATTCAATCCGGTCATTTTTTGAGAAGTTAATTGTACATTTGAATCTATATTTACTGCAGTTGATTGCCTTAGGAGCCTTTGCAGCTGTCAACCCTATTTTCGTTACATACGGTTTACATACAGCATTTTATACTTTATTGGCTTTCCAGTTATGAGTATTAACTTTTCTCCAACGAGGTTTCACTGAACTTTTAGTAACAGTTTCATGTTCTTCACTGTCGATTAATGCACTCTCTCAGCATCGCTATAATCAGAAGTTAACTCGTATTTAACGAGTGAATTGACAATTACTCTGGTTCTATTTTGTTTAGGAGACGAATCAGAGCTAGACATTAAATCATCTAAATTATTGTTTTGCTCAGAGGTTGAAGGCAATTCTTTAGAAATTGCAGAAGACGGATGAAGATCCAACTGATTCGAATCTTGTTTGACCTCTAGAATGTCCTGTAAAGAATGTTGGAATTTACCACATATGATTTGTAGCACTTTATTGAGTAAACAGAAAGCAAAAAATCCAAATAATTGGCTACAATTTTGCAATTTTGCAACTGTGGTATTGTCAAGAATAATAAAAAATTTAAATGGGGATTCAGTAAAAATTAGCTACCTCTGTGCAAATAAATTTAATTATTTCATTATAAAACAGACTTCTTGAAACGTAAGTATTAAGTCAAAAAATATGTTGAGTTTTTACTTTTTAATTACAGATTTAATTATTTCGTTCTTGAAAACTTTATCCATAATTACAACCTTAAAATATTTATTATTCATTCAAATTAAATTAATAAAAATAGCGAATAGACTTTTCACTTTAAATGCACAGATAAATTTAGGTTCCTATTAACAATATGCACTTAATGAGTTTTCCATATAAATGAATTGTAAAAACTGGTCACTTAAGTATATTTAACTTAATTTTCGTAAATATTGTACTTAATCAGTTTTACCTCTAAACTGACGATATGTTAACAGTCAAAAAATAAAACTTAGGAGGACCTTTACCTGCGTGAAGTTGGCCCTACCATGTTATGATAATTACACCAAAGTTGTACCAATATTTTGCAACTAATTTGCAACTTTAGGCAACCGGTATAAAAAAATTTGCAACCTTACATTTTTGTTCTAATCTCTAAAACAAAATTGGTGGGGCTAAATTCACGCAGCCCTACCACATCGTCGTATTGACCTCGAACCTTTTTCAAAATTTAGCAAATAATTTGCAACTTTAGGCAACCTTCGTGAAAAAAATTGCAACGTCGTGGTTACACCGAAAACGAATCGCTAAGTTGATGGTGACAAATTCACGCAACCCCACCACATCGTCATATTGACTTTGAACTTTTTTCATAATTTAGCAACTAATTTGCAACTTTGGGCAACCTTCGTGAAAAAATTTGCAACCTCGTGGTTACGCCAGAAACGAATTCCTAAGTTGGTGGAGCCAAATTCACGCGGCCCCACCATATCGTCGTAGTGACTTTAAATTTTTTTCAAAATTTAGCAATTAGTTTAAACTTTAGGCAACCTTTGTGAAAAAATTTGTAACCTCGTGGTTAAGCCGGAAGCGAATTTCTAAGTTGTTGGGGCTTAATTCACGCGGCCCCGCCACATCGTCGTATTGCCCTCGGACCTTTTTCATAATTTAGCAACTAATTTGCAACTTTAGCCACCTTCGTAAAAAAAATTGCAACCTCGTGGTTAAGTCGAAATCGAATTCCTAAGTTGGAAGGTGGGCCAAATTCACGCGGCCCCACCACATCGTCGTGTAGACCTGGAATTTTTTGGGGCCAACATCTTTTTCTTAATCTATTTTATTACGTACTAATATATTATTAAAATTTATAGTTACAATATTACAGTTTTACTTTAATAAATTAAGATGGTGATATAAATATAAGCACCATGTGCATGCATATATTGTAATATTTAGAAGGTACATTTTTGTATTTGACACGCAAATCATAATTAAACAAAACAAAATAAATTATAATATAATTTAACATTTTAAGAGGAGGATATTATTAAATATTCCTATATCTGTAAAATATAAAACAATTTTAAGTAACCAAGAAAAGTAACTTACAAGTTGTTTTAAAATTGTGCAATAATTAAAAAAAGGACATTCTAGTTAAAAATAAAAGTTTTCTTGAAAAACGTTAAAATAAAAAATGCATATTAGGAAACTACTGTTTTATATAAACCACTAAATGTGGGTTGACCTTGTTGTGATCTTGTTTTGATTTGGAATTTTTTTTTTGTAGGTCATTGTGTAGTTCCCAATTTCCCTGTTTTCTTCTTATAACAGCTACATAATGGTCTAATCCATATAAAACTATGCCATAAAATATATATCTAAAACCGAATAATAATTATTTTTAATAACAATATTATAAATATATTTACTATTATTACCTGTCATCATTTAAATATATCTCTATAGGAAATTCATTTAGAGAAAATTGCCGTGAATTTGCATATACTTCAGTTTCAATAAATAAATGTTGCTGTACGAATCGGATAGATGTTAATGTTCCATCACAATTTTCTTCAGTACAAAGATAAGTGATTGGTTGCATGAACTTATTTAAAGCTGTATTCATTCTATTGAAGCCGTCACAAAAATTTTAGATTATTGTTGGACTTGATAAGTTTTTTTAGAATTAATACACTTAATATTTGAGCACCTTAATTCTTCAATAGCTGATGGCACATCTTTTAATAGTTTTGAAATAATATATGTAATCTAGCCTTTACAAAACTGGAGTAACTCATTTTTTTCTGTGTCAATAAATTGTTTATATTGATCATTATCAATGTAAGCCATAGCTATAATAAATGCAATTGAGTCGAAAGGGCAAGTGTTATGCAATAAATACCTTTGCTTTGAGATTTTTAGTGGAGTGATAATATTTTCATTTATAAGCAAACTATTTAAATTTGAACGCGTTGTCTTTTGTGTCAATAAATGTTCAATTTCTGGCACTGCATCCATATATGTGGTCATTCTTAGTTTTTTCTCTTAATTGGCTTTTGATTGATATTTACCACAACTTCGTTATTCTCTCCCAAACTTCGCCAATTGTCAAATGCATCCATTTCATTTCTACATTCTGATATTTCTGATATAATCGACACTTCTAAATCACTACATTCATCTAAATTTTTAAATAATGATCGTTTTATATTTTTTACTTGTGATTTTTTATTAATATCGTCTTGTGTATTTTTTATATTTTTTTTATCTACAGTAATATCGTCTAGTGTATTTTTATATGTTTGGTGCTTAAATCATGCCTTAATTGTTTACTTCTGAAAAGTTAAGTGTTACTGTCTATAGCTTTCAGATGCTTTATCACAAATCGGTCAGCTGTCATTGGTTGAATTTCGTAAAGAAGAATTTTTCGTTTTAGGTTGCCAAAATCACTCTCTACTAAAGCTGAAGTCGGAGTATCATAAATTGAGCTTAAAGATATTTTCATAACACTCGTCCATAATGAAAAGTCTTTACATATACGTAAAACATCTTTTACGAGGTTGGGAGCTCAGTAACCTGATAAACTTGTTCCTATTAATTTTGAATTGTTTTTACTTTCTTCTTCAATTGCCCTTAAAAATTCTGTAATTCCTTCAGATTCTCCGTCTTCATCATCATCACTCTCGGTAATATTATTTTCTTTATTATGATCTATTTCTTCACCAATAATATCATTTAGAGTAATACCTTTTATTAGGTTTAAAATCTTATTTTTACTGGCTTCTGATGGTGTTACGTTATTAGCTTCATCCAACACATTTGTTTCGCTCATCATTGTTGTTAATAGTGCGATAAGTATTTCTCTGAATTCATGAATTGAACATGATGTTATTAATAATCGTACTCCTCTAATATAAAACTGTTTCAACTGTTTATTTTTATTACCTGATAAATGTTTATTTCGGCAAAATATTTTAATCATATCCTCTATATCAATACGAATATAGCATTGAGGTAATTTTTCTGGGTGTCCTGTTATAATCCTGAAACACTTTTCTGCATAACATTGTAAAGTTAAACCACTACAAAACCCTCTTATTACAGCTACTAAAAGAGCTGTAGAATAATCACAAACTGTTTCGTTGGGAATTTTTATACCTGATTTCAACCATCGATCATAACACGTATTTACAACTGCTTCATATAAAAATATATGACTAGAAGTTAAGTTAAAAGATGAACGTTTAAACCGTTTTATTAATTATGAAAAAGGTTCGAGGGCAGTACGACGATGTGGCGGGGCAGCGTGAATTAAGCCCCAACAACTTAGGAATTCGCTTCCGGTGTAACCACCAGGTTGCAAATTTTTTCACAAAGGTTGCCTAAAGTTGCAAATTAGTTGCTAAATTATGAAAAAAATTCGAGGTCAATATGACGATGTGGTGGGGTTGCGTGAATTTGTCACCATCAACTTAGGGATTCGTTTTCGGTGTAACCACGAGGTTGCAAATTTTTTCACGAAGTTTGCCTAAAGTTGCAAATTAGTTGCTAAATTATGAAAAAGGTTCGAGGTCAATACGACGATGTGGTGGGGCTGCGTGAATTTGGCCCCACCAATTTTGTTTTAGCGATTAGAACAAAAATGTAAGGTTGCAAATTTTTTTATACCGGTTGCCTAAACTTGCAAATTAGTTGCAAAATATTGGTATAACTTTGGTGTAATTATCATAACATGGTAAGGCCAACTTCACACTCGTAGGACCTTTGCTTTAAACAACCACCTACATTCTTTTGTTTGTTTGTTTCGACTGTCCATAATGTGTTTATCGATTTAATCAAATTCACCCTGAAATAATTATCTTTTGCTAATAAAATATAGTAGCAGCATAGAGATTATATATTGCGAGTGACATAATTTAATCTAATGAATGAAACTCTTGAAATCGCAAATAATCAAAATTTGCAAATATTTAACAACGTACTTCCTTCTTAATACCCTTTTGTAATCACCATCAAACTCGTATATTATCTATTTTATCGAAAATAAAAATCCTCAAAATCAGTATCACATAAATATATTTTTTATTGAAAACTAAACTGGAAGGGAAAATTATTATTTATTTATTTTAAGCCAGATATGATTTCACAAACCCACCTCATACAAAGTTTACTAGAGTATTTTATATTCTTAATAATGCGTGCAATCGATCCCATCCCTTTTTTGGTAGCATACCAAGATACTTCCCTTTCTCCCACTTTCTGGATAAGTGCACCTTTGAACTTGACAATTCAATTGTTCTCAATTTCCTGTTAATCGCTTTGCCTTAATTCTCAAATCCTGATTGGAAAGTGTGTGACTGAGTGTGTAAGAGGCAAGGCATACGCCTCTTTGGTATTGACACTTTCTGATTAATATTTAACTGTTTGTGTAGTTGGGAAGACTTGGTAAATTGAATAGTTTGGGATGAGAGCTCTGAAGACATTTAAATTGTTTGATATTTTTAGTAAACACTTGTAGTTGTATGTTTCGATCTATTTTTATTTTTTATATTTCCAACACTATTCGCAGTAAAAGATATGCAAAGTCAGGTTTCTGCTTTGCTTTAATTTCCACAACTAAATTGCCGTGAGCCACTTATTTTTTTGAGCATGTTATCTTTAAATTTTGATTTTTTGATCGGATACGTTGATTTTGTTTTGAAGAAAGTGACTTTCCTTTTTATTTATTTATTTTTTTATATTTATCTACCCATAGGAAGTGTAATTTTTACCTCTTTTATTTGGATAAAGAAAGTGAGTAAAGTGGCACCTTGTTTTAAACGGTTCATAGTTCTTATTACAAGGACGGATTTTTTCGAAAATAGTTGAAGATAAATAAAAATTATTTCATTGAGCATGTTACCCAACAGAAATAAGCAAAAGTGCCTTTTCTTATTTCTCTAAGGTAACATGCTCAATCTTCTTTAGAGACTGAAGAATTTATTAAAACCGAAACGTTAGCCATCGAATAGAAAGTGTGTTTTTTAACAATTTACCCTAAACAACATGTCGCTTTGATACATTCCAAAAAAATTCGAAAAAAAAAACACAATTATGTTTTTATGAAGCATTTTGTTGTTTTTAGATTATCTGATAGACGTACAAGATTATCGGGTGCTTAGTTTTGTTAAATAATATATTTAGGATTCATGTACTTTGAGTAAAGTAGATAAAGATTTAGAGAGAAATAATTATCTCATAAAATTATATTATTATTTTCATTATTCAGTATAGGGACTGTCCTAGAAAATTAACAGATATTTTGAAATTACAAAGGGTTGTGAAAACACAATGTTAGCGTTTTACCCTATTAACCAGTGTAGATCCCTATTTTCAAATTTAAAAGATGAAACGCCCGATCAATTAAAATCGAATGCTACATTGGTATTACAAAACAATATCTTAAAAACAGAATATACCAACACAAATATGACTGTCGGGCAAAAAACAAAAATAAGTTAGAAAAGACTGCATTAGCTTTACATCATTTTAATCAAACGAACAAATTTGACTTTGATAACGTTAAAATTGTTGATAAAGAATCCAACTATCACAAAAGAACAATTAGTGAAATGATACACATATCTCTAAACGACACAGTAAATTTAAGAACGGATACTGCCAATTTAAGTATTTGCTATCGTAACCTACTTAATATATACAAGTCCAAACTATACCTACCGTACTATTAATTAAAAAACATACAAAAGAATTTCTTCGTCCACCTACAATTTTAACTGCCACAATATTTTGATTAATTTTATCATCATTTTAAGATATATGTGTGTAAATGTTACTTTTAGTATTAGATTTTATTTATGTATTGTTCTGTTTTAACTGTTTCGGCAAATTCCACATATGCCTTGCATTAATTAATTTAATAAGGTAGGTTTTTTAGTTTTTATTTCTCCTTGTTTTTATGTTGATATTGAGTTGTTAATTCTCTCATGCTAACAATGTTTGTTTTATTAAAATAACAATAACCATTTACGTTGTATATATACCTATATACTATTTATAATATTGACACCTATGTAAATCTCAGTTTTTAATTTTTTTTGTATTAAAACATATTATGTATTTCAGCCTTGAAAAAGACGAAAAATAAACCTCGAAACGTCGGCAAATTAAGAAGTAAATGTTTTCGCTTTGGCACGTCCTCTTCCCACTAACCTCACACTCACAAATTGTTTTCATTTTTCACATTCAAGTTTAGTTTATGGAAATAAATAATTTTTACAGAAGATGGATAAATTTAGTGTAACCAATTGATACTTTTATGAAAAATTCGTTGAACTTGAACGAGGTTCCAAAAATGCATGAATCCGAACCTTCATTATAAAATATTAGAAATAAAAACATGGTTTTGAAGGGCCGCACGAGTACCATCCCTCTCAGAATATACACCTGGTAAGTACTTTTTTGTTTATTTACAATAATATTTTTTTTTGTGAATTTACAGGGCGATTCAAAATTGAGTGCCAAAATTTCGAGAGCGTATTAAGCAGCCAAAAATAAGAAAGTTTTATGCAATAATCATGTGTTTTAACTTGTTTCGTTTTCTAGATACAGGGTGTCAAAGTTAAAAAAAAATCTGTTTTTTATCAATTACTCAAAAATTTTTTAGTCGATTTAAATAAAATTTGGTAGGCTTATTTGTCGTCATAACGGCCTTCCTTTGGTGGGAATAAAATACATTTATTAATTCTAGTGGCGTCCCAGGGGTTACCAACTTGATACTTATAGGTAAAATTATGGTACGGCACTGCTTTTTTGACAATTAATTTTTTTTTTATAAAGCGGTCAATAATGTAATTTTTTAGCTTTGTTTCCAAGAAAAACATTAAAGTCTGTGCCTGGCCCTATTAAAACAAGTAAAAAATTAATTAATTATTGATGGAGATTGTCGCCAAATAAGTCTGTCTTAATTTTTATTTCTGGTATGAAATTTCATTTATTATTTATTCCAGTGACATCTCAAAGTGTGATTTTATTTAATTAATAATTGTGTTTTTATTTAAAAAAAAAAAAATTGTAGCTACTATGAAAATGACTTTAAAAAAACCTAGGGGCTGTGATCTTTGTTAGCAGTATTTTGGTTTTCTCCTAAACAATGGCACATTTGTTATTATTTTTTAATTTTTGGTTTCGGTTTAATTATTTTTATGTGGTTGTTTTTCATTTTTCTTTTTTTTAATAATGGAAAATTAATCATTTTCATTCGAGCACCTTGCAGAACTTTCAGCAACTCTCTTTGACATCTCTGGGAATTTGGAAAATTCCAAACTACCAGAATGAATGCTGGTAGGACGCGTGAAGTCATCAACGTGGTGACGGAAGAGGAAATTCTGGAATTATTGAGGAGAATCCTGCGTTAAGCACGAAGAAAATTGCACTGGATTTAAATCTTCGTCAATCGACAGTTTAAAGGGTTTAACTTAAAAATAATCTTTATTCATACCATATCCAGCGCGTGCAGGATTTGCTCCCAAGCAATTTTCCCCTGCGGGATCTAATTCTATCTAGATGGATACTAAATAATTGTGCCAGGGATACGAACTTTTTATTTCGCATCCTGTTAACAGACGAAGTCCAATTTACACGCGATGGGGTCGCTATCATAACATCCATGTTTGGGCAATGAAAAATCCCCACGAAATTCGACAGCCTAACTACCAAGAAGAGTTTAGTTTAAATATTTGGGAAGGCATTGTTGGAAACTTTTTAACTGGTCCATTTATTTTTCCCCGATCTTTAAATGGTAATACTTATCTGGACTTTTTACAAAATATTTTA